GATGAACATTTCCCATCAACCACCACCTTTAATCAGCCATGCTGCAGATACTGGGGTAGTATAGGAGAACTCAGACACACATGTTGCAGGGAATGCAAAAGGGCAAATTGTTCAGTCTTGTTTCTATCTTCTGTCTTCTTACAGCTAGCCTTTCTGGTATGCTTATTCTGACAGTAGTCAAGATGCCTTCAACCCTAAGCTCTTTGCCATTTTTTCCATCTTTGGTTAACCACAGCAACCTAGCAGCAAGAGAGACTGAAGCAGTGACAAGGACTACTTAATATCTACTAGTCTCATGCATCCCCGCTGCTACCCAATTACCCCAGGGTATTTGTATCTCTAATTAAGCCCGAGTAATACATGAAGCAAACCATCAGAAACAACGACTTTGCTGCACGGTTTTCTCAGAAGGCAGGCCTCCAGTACTCACTAGACTGAGTGTCAAAGTTCATAGTGACCTTCTGTGAGCTAAAGAACTTCACTATCATAAGGACACAGCCTGTGGAATTCAGTAGTGTAGTGGAACTAGGGGGACGAGGCATTTTGAGTTCCTTCCCTTCCAATGGGTTGTCCATGAGTGAACAATGCGACTCCAGCTCTCCTAAGATCTCATCCCCCATGTCACAGTTGGACCACTGGACCGAAGGGTCTGTTTCTGAGCTGTATCATTCTCTCCATTTTCAGACCATCACAGCATATTCTTGGCTAAAATCCTGAAAGAAAACATACCAACAAAAACCTTTCTGTAATATCTTTTCTTCAGTATCCCAAAGGGAAATGAGTACCTGTGAAGATATGAAACAAATAAACAACACACCCAATAATAGAAACAAGACTGAACAATTTGCCCTTTTGCATTCCCTGCAACATGTGTGTCTGAGTTCTCCTATACTACCCCAGTATCTGCAGCATGGCTGATTAAAGGCTACATTTTTTCACTAGAGGAAACTGCAGATGATTTTGCTCCTGAAGCAACTCTGGGCCTTGATGTCTGAGCTTTGACCTGTAATTCCAAAGCCTGGGCAGTGGCAGTCTGGATTAGCTGGGTAAGAGTCAACAGCAGGGGCGCTAGTGAAGTGACAATGATGGGAGCGTGAATGCCGGAGTATTGAGGGAGAACAGCAGGTCTGTGGATAGAAAATAGCTGCCACAAACCTGGGCAGTGTCTCAGCAATCCTATGAACCCATTGGCAAGCAGGCTGCTGGATTGTGAGAGTCTGCATGAGCCTTTGAACACTGAAATCCTCAGCTACACTAGCAGCAGTCCAAGGATGTACAGCAATTAAGATGGATTTCAAGACCATCATTTGAGTTTTTACTGCAACACTGAGATACTGGATGCCTTCTGCCTGTGCTGCAGTGGAAAATGAGGCAGATGGTGCCAAGTGTTACATTCAGGGTGTATCCCTAATGTCATTATGAAGCTGATTATTAGTTCCAAGTGGTGAAGATTGGTTGTAAGCTCTCTCTGCCAAGTTGGAGTTGGTTGGATTTCTCCGTGCTTTTGACAACAACAATAGTCTCTGTGGCAGGTCTACCAAAACAGAAAGTTCTCACTGTGCATGCTTATCAGTGTAGTTCCTTTCAAGTCTTCATTGGAGTTCCAACCTTTTCCCAGCTTACGTTCCCACCTAGCCTGTGTCGTCAATAAACATGGATAGTATTACTCTCGGTATCTCTATTATATAGATTTTGAACAGCTGAGGCCCCAACACTGATCCTTGCTGCTCTTTGCTAGTTGCAGTGTGCCAAAATGAAATGCTCAGTTTGGCACACTCTCTGCTTCTTGTCCATTAACCAACTTCTATCCACAATAATAAATTCCCCAAATCAAGGAGCCCTTATGTTGCATATTAATCTTTTAATGTGGTGTTTACTTAATGTCTTTTGGAAATCCAAACAACATTTACTGGTTCCCCTTTATCTACCCGACTTACTACATCCTCAAAAAAACTTAAAATAGATTTGTGAAACAGGATTTCCCTTTCATGGAACTATGGTGGCTCTGTCTGATCATACTATGGGATTCTAAGTACATTGTTAGGATTTCTCAATAATAGATTCCATCATTTTCCTGTGATGATGTTAGGCTATCTGGTCTGTAACTTTTTTTTGTCTACTTTTTTCCTCTTTCCTTGAATAGCAGCTTTACATTTGCTAAATTCCAAACTGCTGAAATTGTTCCTAAACAATTGTTCCTAAATGTTAACAAATGCATCAGTATCTCTGCAGCTATGGAAAATGTTAACAAATGCATCAGTATCTCTGCAGCTATGGAAAACGTTAACAAGTGCATCAATATCTCTGCAGCTACCTAGGCCATTAGGTCTTAGAGATTTGACAGTTTTAGTTCCTTAAGTTTCAATACTGTACTTTTTCTGTGTTGAATGCCTGTATTTCTGGGATATAATTTGTGTCTTGTGCTGTAAAGACAGACAAAAATACTTTTTCAATGTCTCTGCCATGTCCTCATTCCCCATGATAATTTCTTCTGTGTCTATCTCCAGGGTGCCAACATTGACTTTATTATTCCCCTTTTCATATATTTGTATAAACTGTTACAATTTGTTTTTCTGTCCCTAGCTAGTTTATCACATATTCTACATTTTTCCCTTTTTAATCATTAGTTTGGCTGTCCTCTGCTGTTATCTAAATCTCCCCCGGTTCTCATGCTTATAACTTTCTGAAATACATCACAAGCTTCTTTTAATTTGTTATTAACCTTAACTTCCATAGTAAGCCGTGGATGGATCTCTTCCACTGAATTTTTGTTTTTCACAATGAAATGTATTTTTGTGACTATGTGCCTGCCCACCCGCTTTGAGTGTGCAGCCAGCAGCATGTTCAACCCTGACCTGAACACTGTATTAGTCAAAATCTGAAGACATAGAGTTTGCAAGGTAAAGGGCAATTTTGCATTGCAACCCCTGTTTTCGAAACCAATTGTTCCTTGTATGTCTTGATACAAGCATTGTTTGGACTATTGAAGTGTATCTAACTGAATAGACTCCAACTAAAGACATTTGGAATAGCAATGGCAAGTCTTTTCTTGCAAAATTTCTGGCAGTGGGCTGGATTTTATGATCTCAGCATGGGTCCTGCCTACAAATTGGACAACAGGTGGAAATCCACTTGGCTTGTGTTGGGGGAGACCCAACTTAATTAAGAAAGTAAGTGCCCCATATAGGCCAGTTTCAGGCCTTACTTGGGACTTCGCACCCTAACAGCAGAGATCTGGTAGCTCTCCAATGCTGGCAGCACCTCAAAGCAGTGGCAGCTGCAGTTGTTCTCTGGGGACTTCACTGTGGATTGTCACTGGATCCCTAGACCCAGATGTGTGAGGAAGGGGTGGGAGTCACAGGGTGGCAGGTAGCAGGAGAGGAGCATTGGAAGGGAGATGGTGGCTTTCATTGGACCCCACCATTAGTGCTGCCAGGTCCTATTTAGACACAGTCCATGACAGTGAGATCCCCATGTGGTAGGCTTCTGGCAAGTTCAATAGGTTTGCTGGGTGGCCTTCAGGAAAAGCTAAGGCTATGACTCTATTCGGGGTTTGAGTGTAGATTTGTAGCTCGGGCGCTCGTTGTAGATATTGGTATGTTCGCTGAGCTGGGGGGCTTGATAGCTGGTTCAAACCACCAAGGACAACAGCGCTTCACAGGAGGCTCCACAGCACTGAGGATGTCACCTGGTAAGGGCACAAAACATCTGCAATCAAACCTCCCAGCTCAGCGAACACACCAACATCTACTGTGACTCTTTGCCATGGAAAAGCCGTTAAAATCCCTCTTAATCTTCGAACCATCACCACATTCCAATGGGCTCTGGAATAATCATCAACTGTCTCCTTAATGAGTCTAATTGATATCCTGCCTCATGCAAATGAATTTTCAGTATGGGCCAATTCCCACTGAAAAAACTGCGCAGAGTTTGTATCCTGTCACTAAGTCACCCTTTATTCACACATGGATAGTCCTTGACACTGGTTCAGCTCCCTCAGAGCCAGCTCTCAGAGTGAACAAGATGTCTGACACTCCTGTTTTTTGTGTGGGTTTTCTTTTTTTTTTATTCTGAATCCCCAGTTTATATATTTTTCCTCCAAACCCCTACACCACTGTCATATAGCAGTAGTGCTTATTTTCCCCAGTACCTCCGTGTGTGTGCAGGTGCGAGACACAGTGACCCTCCTGTCTACATCTGTCAGCCAGGGCTTCCTGATTGGACCAGGTTAACAGCCCCAATCAGGGAACTGACGTTCTATGAGGTCCACCTGGCTGACCTCGTTACATTCACTATAGTTACCTCCAATTCAAACACAGGAGATACTCCCCCCAAGCTCCAACCCCAATGAAAGACTGATGGACAATCTCTCCTGTGATTTAATTGGGCTTCACTGTCATGATTTTCACTGTTAGGCTGAATTAAGTTCCATATAATATCTGTGATTTGTGTCAAACTATTGGCATTGCATCCTAAAAATTATATTTCTTACTGTCAGATATTTGCTGATGAGGGAATGCTGGCATGCAGTATCTTCTCAGAGACCAACATTCAAACAGCTTGTGGCAGAACTTGACAAGGTCTTGTCTTCAATATCAGATGAGGTTAGTATGTCTACCATATACCTCACTTTCAAAGTTTTCTCCATGAGATGGATTTCTTCCTTACCAGACCAAAATCAAAATATCTTCCACAGTACTCCAATTCATCATCATCCTGACCTAGGAATAGATTGTTATTGTTTCATCAGCCCTACTCAAATTCTGAGAACTCCCTACCTGACACCACTGTGGATGTACCTGCAGACTGCAGTAGTTCAAGAAAGAAAATCACTTGCATTTCTCATTGGGGATTGGCAATAAAATATTGACCTTGCCAGCAATCCTCACGAACAAATACAAGAAGCTGCTGCTACACAAAACCAGTCTTTTCGCAAAATAACACATTTATCCAACAATAAAATCTGGCAGGAATAATGTGATTCTAGCGATAAGAGTATTGTTGGTGGCCTAATTTGCAGTGGAGCAAACAATCCCTGAATTGCAACATAACTACCCAAAAAACAACCTCTATCTCATTCCCCATAAGATGAATGATGATAGTGATCCATATCATTGAATATAAGAATATTGATACAATCTATACATATATTGGGACATAAAAGAAGACAATGTGTAGGAAAAGAAAAGGCGTTTTTATTTACCACTTTTTGGTGAATTTATATGCTCAACATAGTCTATGATTCTCAATATGCTGAATACAAGCATTTCTTTGTCAGGTATGTAATTGATAAAATGTTTCACCAATGTAGCTTGACATCATCCCACCTCCACCCCACCACCCCAAAACCTCAGAAGACCACTTCTCTTATATAAATATCTCCATTTCCTACCCCACTGTCAGAATAGCTTCTGAATGATATTGCCAAGTTAGTGTAAACTTCTGGCTAATTACGGCCGTTTTTGTGTGTGGGATTGGTGCCCATTCAGAACTGTACTGAACCTGGCCAAGTTCATTTCATTTAAACAGAAGAGACTTTCATTCTGTTCCCACTCACTGGAAAGGAACCCAAGCCTGAAATGTAAAAAGACAGTGTCATAATCAGCTCCACAGCCAAGTTCTCCTACTACTGAGAAAAATAAATAACAACAATCAGGTTCTGCAGAAGTCCAATGATAACTTTGTTCTGAACATATACACTGTGTTTGAGATGATTCTGATGTGAATAAATATGTCTGAATTTTCTCCCTCAACAGTATTTGGACCTCTCCACTCCTTTTGAGCAATATTCTCCCTTGTGTGAAGACAGCAATAGTACATGCTCATCCAATGACTCCGTCTTTGTTCATGACCCTATGTCGGATGACCCTTGCTTACTGAATTACCATGACCGTAATACTCGAATCAGGACTTGAGAAAGATGTCAGTCTGGAACTCCCGGCTCAATATGGATCATTTCCCCTGTAATTAACTCTGATGGTACTTTGGGAATAGTTCAAAACTGGATGGAAAGTTAATTTCTTTTAAGATTTGCTTCTTCCTGAAAGACATGAAATTTCCTTTTGAAGAAGAACATTCTCTCTCACATAGCATGACTGGGTCAAACCGTTAAGATTTTAATTAATCCTGATTTGTCCAAATTCTCACCATTTGAAATTGATCATTTTTACAATGAAAGCCATATTTGAATGGAGAAAAGCTCTGTGTATTCAGGTATTGAGCAGCGGCAGAACTCTACAAATGGAGCTCTGTGGTTTACACTTGATGGTGATACTGATTTTGAGCTTTGTTTCAAGATACTATCAAAGGACTTGCTGCACCTAGACATGATGGCCTTTGGCAGTGAAGAAGCATTAACCTAAGCTACACCAGAGAACTTATCTGGAATAGAAATACACCAAGACTGGAAGAATCTGAAAAGCAAGTTTTGTCCATTGGCAAAGCATCAAAAAGTGAAGAAAGTATATTTGCCATACAGAAATCTTGCCACGTACTTTGTTGTGATTCATCACAAACTTCAATGATAGGAACAAATCAAGTGAAAGCATGTTAGCATGAAATTTCTGGACTAACATTCCCAATAAAAGTATCAACTGTACCTTCTTCAGTAACAATATGATTAGATGCGCTGCTGAGTTCACTCAATGCCAACGAGATGGTATTACATCCAGGCTGGCTCTTTTCCTGGAACACACTACTCTGAAGATCCAGTGACTGAACTCACCATAAAATGTCCTTGAAAAGAATATGTGTCTAGTTCAAATGTATTTAATTTTTTAAAATATTTGAAAAAAATAATAGATTTGAAGCTCCTGGCACAACTGGTGGCATAATGCATTGCCATTTATCCAATTACTTGTTTCTTTAAACACAGTGATTAGTCTTGCAAGAGCTATTACCATAGCAACCCTCATTTATAAAGAATTTAATTACTTTTTTCTGTGTGAATAGAACAGCCTGGGAACAGCTGGTCCAGCTGTTTGTAACACCGTTTATCCAGATAATCATCAGTTTACTGTTTTAAGCCCTGCAGTAAGCTGTAAAATTGAAAAATATTTGTATCTGAATTTTTTTCTTTAAGTAGCATGTCCAAATTTATTGGCAGTCATACTTCCTTTTCTGGTTATTAGATTCAATATATTTGTGGTCTAGAATTATTTACAGTAACTACTGGAGACATCTGTGGAAAAGAACATTCGTATTTTGTGTTTTTTTTCTTATGAGTAAGACTCCTTTTTTTTTGTTATTTGCTCAATTCCCTGGACTTTTATCCCATACATAAAGTGTTGCTGAGAAGCAAGAGAACAACCAGCTCCAAGTCCATGAAAGTAGCTTTGATTCCATTTTTAGCTTATACCTGCTACAGGAATTTTGTGTCACACACTGTGACAGCTTTGTTTGGCAATTTAGGGAAAGGAGTGGTGGGGAAGGGAAAAGGGAAATTGCAGTAATGAATCCACATCCCACTGGTTCAAGATCTGGGAGACTGGGGTCAGTGCTCAAATATGCTTGAGCTGTGAAGTTTTGCTTCCTCAGAATTCTTGGAGCCTGTCAGATGCAGGCATGTTGATAGCTGGCTTGTATCAGGGATATTGTTTCTTCAGGAATTATTAATGATGCTGGCAGTGACTGTTGTTAAGTTAAAATCACAAGCAAAATGCTTCTGTTAGGATTCTAAGTTGCTGCTGTTTGTCAAATACAGATATTATTTTAGTCAGTTATTGATGTGCCAAAACTCAGTGGCTGATGAAATGTTAGCTGTGCTGCAGTATTTGTAAATAGGGTGCCTTCTGATCAGGTAAGAAAGAGATTTTTGCATTGAGTAGAAATATGACTAATAGAGTTACCCTCGAAGTCTGAATTGTCCTGCCCTTCTTTGAAATCACATTTCTTGTAAATATGATTGAGTTGAATGTAGCTGTACAGTGTGTCTTATATCGGCATGTTTATTGCCAAATCGTTGCCTTTTTTATAAATTATTTTTGCCTAAACTGGTACTACAATGAAGGTGCCTTGTGTCAACAATACAACTGAATAGTTCTGGGATATACTGTTGGCATGGCAGGGATTTACAGGAATTGTGCATTTTATTGTGCACAATGTTACCAATGGATACAAGAGGCTGAAGAGGAAACTGAAAACTTCTCCTCTCTGTCCAATATGTTGCTGAAGGTTTTTCCTGGATGGTGGAAGTCCTCAGCACCAACAACACTTTGTAAAAATGAATGCTGCTTCTTTCCTGCTCCATCCCTTTTGTTGAGCAATGTGTGCCTCAGACCGTGCTGTGATACAGCAGTTCAGGTAAAATGGCAAAAAGCTGGGACCATACTTAAAGCTAAGTCTGGGATAAAACAAAATCTGGAAGGTCAGACATCAGTTTTGTACATGTTCTTCCTTGAGCAGGCAGGTCTGTAGTCCTCACAGGGGAAGTAACACTGCCAGCATGGATGTTCCACCCTAACTAGTGGGGCTGTGGGTCAGCTTAGCGTAGGCAGTAATTGAGAATTAAACTAAAAGAGGTAATCATTATCTAGAGTCTAGTATATTACTCTCAAGTTTCACCGTGACACTCATTAACATTTACCAATAAAAATCCATCGCTAACACTGGTGGTACAAAGAAGAACAGTTGAATTCATTTACCATGATTTATAGAAACTAATTCATTAAAATCACATTTTGAACGCACATTTGTTTTTCAATTTCTTTTTCCTTGCTAATTTTCTCCTCCCCATTAGCCCACTTTCTTGAAATTGGCTGAGCTAATGAAAAGAACTTGCCACATAGCCACTCAAACCTGTCACATCATTCAATATGTTCATGCTAATCTTCTACATCAGCTCCACTTTCCTATCCTATCCTATCCCCACAGGCAAACCTGTAGAACCAATATAAACTGGGGATTGAAGCTGATCTCACTGAGTCATTTTTCTGGTATTTTGAACAGGACATTCATGATTTTAATGTCTGAAATTGAGATTTTTTTCCTTCTTCCCAAAGAACAGTTCAGGTTAAAGGTAAAGGTGAGAGAGGGGGTGATCTTTTGAAGTACTGAATGATATTAGTTTACTAGCTGTGAAGTATTTTATACCTCCTCCAATCTGGGCTTTCTGCCTAGTTCAAAGTTTAAATAGGATGAATAAGCAACGTCCATGAAAATCATCTTGTGGAAGGATTTTCACACAAGTTTCATGTGGAAATTCCAGTGACATTAATCTAGAAACTGAGGGGCCTTCATGTTTGACAATCCACCAAGTTTCCCCACACATCCGTTCAGTACAGCACTTACTTGGAGACTGAGCATTTCGTGCCACTGTGCCCTGCTCTTGTTGAGGCTGGTGTTAGTGAACTGCTGTGCCTTGGTCTTACTGAGGCTGGTGCTGGTCAATTATTGAGTCACTTTCTTAAGCATACATGTGAAAATGCCAACAACATTTTGGAAATTATGACAAGGTATATTGGGAGGAAAGAATCAGCAATTCAAGAAACAATATCTTTAATGAGCCTATATTTTTGTACTACCTTGAATGAAATTGCAGGCTGATAATTAAAATAACAATCCATATATTAGATTAATTTTATCATTAATATTGTTTAAATATTAATCAACTATATTGTATGTGATTTGTACACAAGAATACGTTGTTTTCTGAGAGTCCAAACATTTTTAAAAGCATACAGCAGGGTTTTACGACTTGTCTAGTTGATGGCCAACACATACTTGGTGAAGAACAATTAAGAACCACTGTGAAATTGTGAATTCTGATATCAAACACATTGCAAATGTATGTAAGACCCGATGTATCTAATAACTATATACAGCAACCAATGTATTTCTTAAGCATAGCACAATCCCCTCACTCATCCGGTAGGCAACTGTCTAATGGTATTATCACTAGACTATTAATCCAGAGACACAGTTAATGTCCTGGGAACCTGGGTTCAAATTCTACAAAAATAGATAGTGGAATTTGAATTTGATAAAAATCTGGAATCAAGGGTCTAATGATGACCATGAATCTGTTGTCAGTTGTCAGAAAGAACAGCGCACTAATCTGGTTCACTAATGCTCTTTAGGGAAGGAAACTGCCATCCTTACCTACTCTGGCCAACATGCGACTCCAGACCCACAGTAATATGGTTAACTCTTAACTGCCCTCTGGGCAATTAGGGATGGACAATAAATGCTGGCCTGGCCAGCGATGCCTACATCCCATGAATGAATAGGATCATACATACACATCTAACAGAAGCAACATTTAAGCTCTATCTCATGGTCACACCCTCAATCATATGGCTCATTCCCTTGTCATAGATACTTGTCCTTATCAAGTCATCATAGTCCCAGAGGGCCATAGGGCTGCTCTCTCATCAGAGAGAGATGCTTGGTAGTGAGTTTAACCTCAGTCACCTTCCCTTGGCAAAGGGTGAGGTTGAGAAGGTGATACCTTCAGTGTGACCTCAGCCAGTGTGAGAATTGAACCTAAGGTGATACCATCGCTGGGCATCACAAACCAGCCATTCAACAAACTAACTGAACCCTTCTTATACAGTACTCAAGTGTACAAATAACACATTCTACTTGCAGAGATAGTAAGAACTGCAGATGCTGGAGTCAGAGATAACACT